CCTTTTCGCCTACGGATTCGTCTACTGTGCTTAGGAAGCTTGAGAATGACCAGAACGCGAGACCCGCGGAGAAAGCTGCGTTACGGGATTTAGGAGGTGAGTGTGGACCGATCCTCGCTGTGGAGACCGCGCTTAAATCGATGGCGGAGGAGAATGGTTCTGTGGAATTGGAAGAGTTTGAGGTTAGTGGGAAGCCTCGAATCATGGTTTTGGCTATTGATCGAACTAGATTGCTTAAAGAGTTACCAGAGAGTTTCCAGGGGAACAGCGAATCGAATCGGGTCGTCGAAACGCCTAATTCGATTGAGAATTCTACGGTATCTGGTGGCGGGTTTGGGGTTTCCGGGTCGGGTAATTTCCCAAGGCCTGATATGTGGGGGAATGATCCTAGTATGGGGTTTAGGCCTATGATGAATGCACCAAGAGGAATGGGAATGATGGGGATGCATCATCCAATGGGATTAATGGGTAGACCACCTCCGTTTCCTTTGCCTTTGCCGTTGCCTGTGCCGTCGAATCAGAAGCTTAGAAGTGAAGAAGAGGATTTGAAAGACGTTGAGGCTCTTCTGAGCAAGAAGTCTTTTAAGGAGAAGCAACAGTCTAGGACAGGTGAGGAGTTGCTTGATCTGATTCACCGTCCAACTGCTAAAGAAGCCGCTACCGCAGCTAAGGTGAGCTCAAGTAAACGGTCTTTAGTGTTAACTGATTTTATATGTAGCGCAATGTGAATGTGGTTGTTTATAAGCTTTCTTAAGGAACGAGGAAAACATAGTATTAGGCATAGCAGACTAGATAAGTGAATGTGAATTTGGACTAGATAGCGAACTAGATAAGTGAATGTATAGTTCTTGAACAAGTTTTGGAGTTTGTTATCAAAATGAAATACTACTCCAATTTGTTGGTTTGTATTTAAATGTGTTTTAAGTATCAGGTTTAGGCTTTACTGGTTTAGTTGTTTTCCGTGATCGAAGAACGTTATTTGGCTCTCAAGACTCGTAGTTCTCAGCATTGTGTTGAAATTTCAGTAAGGTGAAAAGCAAAGAGCTATATTAGTGAGATGCGTTTTTCTTTCAGTGTGGATTCTGATAATTATGGCTTCTGTCCAATGTGGCCAGATTTCTGATAGTAAGGAGTCTTCTATCAAAAATAATCACCTTCAAAAATCTATATAGTTGATGTTTTTTACCTGTTCATCTTCATAACATATACAATATTACAGTTTGGGCTTGAAAGTGTTCGATGTTTGGTTTCTACTTTCTAATTTCAGTCTCGAGGTAGCAAAAGAAATTATTTCTCTGCACAAAACTTGTGTGTTTGTTGTGAATTTCTCTCTTGGTATCTTGTGATCTACACCCCTGCCTCTGTTTCTAGCCTCAAATCTTCTAGGTGTTATTTTTTGGTAGTTTTCTTCCCGTCTTTTAAATAAAAGTTTGGTTCTTGTCATTGACTGGTATTTGTTATGTTGTTCACAGTTTAAAAGCAAAGGAGGATCACAGGTTAAGTATTACTGTAGGTATTTAACTAAAGAGGATTGTCGTCTTCAGTCTGGCTCTCATGTAGCCTGCAACAAGGTTTGAACTAACTCAAGTTTACATTTTACTTCTTATTTGATTGGAAATTCAGAATCTTATAGTGTTGGAATTCCATAGCAAACAAATTCAGAAATCTTATAGTGTTTGGAATTCCATAGCAGACAAATTGGGATTTATAGTGTTTGTTAGTTTTGCTTTGCATAGTTTTTGAGTTTATACTGATCTCCCACTATGGTGTCTATGTAGCTTGGCTGAAATATACTTATTTCGTATGACTTATATATGCTTTCAGAGACATTTCCGTCGACTAATTGCTTCACATACCGACGTCAGCCTAGGAGATTGTTCCTTTCTCGATACTTGTCGTCACATGAAGGTAAATCTTTTTAACATTGTTACTATATGTTGTTTCGGATTATATTAGCATAGATAAATGGTTATTGAGCCACCATCACTTTGGATGAGACAGACTTGCAAATATGTGCATTACGAGCTCGACATGGCTGATGCTATGATGGCTGGTGGTCCAGATAAGGCATTGAAGCCTCTACGTGCTGATTACTGTTCCGAAGCTGAACTTGGTGAGGCACAATGGATTAACTGTGATATCCGTTCTTTTCGAATGGACATTTTAGGAACTTTTGGAGTTGTTATGGCGGATCCGCCATGGGACATTCACATGGAACTTCCGTACGGAACAATGGCTGATGACGAGATGCGCACTCTCAATGTTCCCTCGTTGCAGACAGACGGTTTGATCTTCCTCTGGGTCACTGGTCGTGCAATGGAGCTAGGCCGTGAATGGTACATAGAAAAATCTCAACAAATTTTGGGAATCATTTGATTTCTCCATGAAATAAAGTTATGTTTTTTGTGAAGTTTGGAGCTTTGGGGATACAAGAGAGTGGAAGAGATCATATGGGTAAAGACGAATCAGCTTCAACGTATTATTAGAACAGGAAGAACAGGTCACTGGCTCAACCATAGCAAAGAGCATTGTCTTGTTGGAATCAAAGGAAACCCAGAAGTAAACAGAAACATCGACACAGATGTGATTGTTGCAGAGGTTCGAGAGACAAGCAGGAAACCAGACGAGGTTAGTCCACAATAATAGCCCAAACCTTACCAAATCATTTCATAGTACATTACAATTCTGGAATCTTGTGATGAGATTTGATTTGTCAACTACCAGATGTACGCAATGTTAGAGAGGATCATGCCAAGAGCAAGAAAACTCGAGTTATTCGCCCGTATGCACAATGCTCATGCCGGGTAAACTTTTTCGTTCTTATCGTCATAAAATTAGCAAGTATGATCTCTGTTGTCATGACTCATTTCTGTCTACTTTTGGTTATTCAGATGGCTATCACTTGGTAACCAGCTTAACGGTGTACGGTTAATAAACGAAGGTCTTCGAGCTCGTTTTAAAGCATCATACCCTGAAATAGATGTCCAGCCACCATCACCACCAAGAGCCTCTGCAATGGAAACAGACAACGAACCAATGGCTATTGACTCAATCACAGCTTAGTTCAAATTTTGTGGCATTGATTGTTGTAAATCATTATGAGAAAATTTTCAAAGGAAGAAAGCTTTTGAAAGCCCAACAAAAACATTAAAAACGAAACTACGAGGAAAAAAGGAAATTTCTGTTTATTCGCTCCAGTACTTCTCATCATCAACATCTTTATCATGCTCCAACGAATCCTCACCGTCCGATTCATTGACCAAACCCATCTTGAACCTCCTCACATCTTCAACAGCTGCGTTCCTAAACAACCCAATATCAACAGCTCCGGCGACCATATGGTAACCGCGTCCACGGATCTCCACAGGGCCGTCGTGCGGCATCGCGAAACCCGACAAATAAGCTCCGCCTTTCGCCGGATCCGACGACAGCACAGATTTCTCAGCTTTCCTCATCATCTCTCTCACTTTCTTGTGTCCCGGATCCCACAGATACCCCAAACTCGCGCTAAGATCCAACGGTCCCATTTGCACGCAGTCAACACCATTAACGGCTGCGATCTCATCAGCTTTCTTCACTCCTTCACCTGATTCCACCTGACACATGATCAGAATCTCTTCTGCGTAATTACTTAAATACCCTTCGTCGATTCCGTAGCTGGAAGCTCGCACCACCGTGTGCGCCGATCCTCGGATACCGTCGGGAGGAAACCGGCAATACGACACCGCTTTGGTCGCGTCTTTGCGAGATTCGATCATTGGGAACATGATCCCTTGTGGACCTAGATCTAAAGCTTTCTTAGCCCAGGCTGGGGAGCTTTCCGGTAACCGGAGAATGGCGGATGTTCCGGTGGCGTTGAGGGCTCGGATACAATCTAGAGCTTCCGGTATGCCGCCGGGACCGTGTTCCATATCAACGACGACGTAATCGTAACCGGCGTGAGCTGCGATCTCGGCTAGTGTCGGCGAGAAGGAGAGTAAAAAGAGACCGTAGAGAGTTTCTCCTCCACGGAGACGAGATTTCAAGGAGGTTTTGGATCGGTTCGTGATCGTTTCCCCGGTTGCGGCGGCGGTGGGTGAGTGATCGGCGGGAGAGGAAGAGTATCGGATTGGAGTTAGGGTTTTGCGGGAAAACGAAACGGATGATCTGATTGAGGTTGATTTCGAATGAGACAATGATTTTCCGATGATCGAAGAAGAGGGATTAAGCAGAGGTGTCACATCTGTGGTGATGACGGTGGCGGCGAAGATTGAAGCGGTGGCCATGGCAGTGAACTTGGGAAGTATCGAAGAAGTGATTAAAAAAAAATTGGAACGATATTGTAAGTTACTCGCGTATCAGCGTTTCCGATATAGAAATGTAAACTGCGTGACGTTTTGTTTACTTTCAAAAATGTCAAAACGTCATATCTAAACTACATGTCGTTTTTTGTGCCTTTTCAACTACAATTGGTTTTTGGATTAAAATATACAAAATAAATTGAGTTTACATGTACGTAACACATTGACAAGTGAAAACACTATCATAAACTTCCTTTTCTTACTAAAATTGTAATTAAAATACAAATAAGATAAACTCATAATATTATGAAAACAACATAGTCACTAAAACATGACATACACTATAGTACTAAATTCACGCAAAGCATGAGTCATTTTTAGTAAAAAATTATTCTGGAAATATATCCAATAGAAATTTTAGCATATTAAACCAAATAAGAGCTCTTTATCTAAGAAAATACAATAATAACGAGATATGTATATCATAAACTGTTACATAGATTATTAGTAAAAAGCCCGACTAGATCATAATTAGGGTTTCATCTTTTCTGTTCTACAACCTTTTTTTTTTTGCTAAACTGTAAATATCAGTTGAAATGAAGGTTTAGTGTTACAAAAGATGTAAGAATAGGGGATTGAACCTTGTCAAAAAAAGAGAGGAAAAACCAAGGAACAATTATTATAAGACAGACTTATAAGCGGGAAAACAAAAGGATCTTCTCATCGCAGCCATAAAGGCATGAGATTCCTGAACTTCTTCATGTGAGATCTAGCCGTGATTGAGTTTCTGATTTGCCGGTCTATATCTTTATAAATCGTAGCTGGCGGAATGGTGATCTGGTTGTGAATCAGATTGTTTCGCTGTCTCCAAACTGTGTAGACTAGGGCGTGAACGATGAGAAGCCGCAACGTCTGGGGACAGCTAGTGCTTCTCGATGCTGCCCACTTCATCAGCTCATTCCAACTACTCAGCCTCAGATTCGTGATTTGAAGCTTAGAGAAGATGAACGACCAAATTACCTTAGTGTAGGTGCAGTCAATAAACAGATGAGCCCTCGTTTCACTAGAAGAGGAGCAGAGGCAGCAGTGAGTTGAGACCTGCATACCCCAGGAGGCGAGCCTGCACTTTGTGGGAAGTCTATCCAAGTTAACTATCCACATATTGAACGCGTGACGGGGCGTAGAACCTTTGAACCAGATGGTAGACGCCCAGCTCTTTATAGTGCTTCTAGGGCGAAGCACCTCCCAAGTTCTGCCTGCATTATAGCCACCACAGTTTTTACCACCTATCTCCCAAGCATAGCAGTCGTCCCTGTCAAGCGTGTTAGGCGGAGTAAGGGTAGATAAGTGGACATGAAGCGCCAGTGCTTTGTCAGATCTTGGTGGCTGAAGCTTCCACTCCTGCAGATCATAAACGGAGGAGATCTTTGCTTCGATGGGAATACTGAGAGCACGAGGCCCACCTTCGCCCATAAACTTTATCAAAGGCCCTAATGGAGTCCAATTATCAAACCAAAACCAGGCTGCAGCCCCATTACCAATATTGCACTTGATGAATTTCTCAGCCAGCTCCCTAAGCTTTAACAGACTCCTCCACAACCAAGAATCACAAGCTTTAGGTTTAATTCCCCAAAAGCTGACATTGTTGAGAGAGTCGCAGAAGGTAATTTTCAAAACAATCATCATGACGACGACGATGTCAAATCTTCTAAAGGATATGGTAGAGGAGATCTTGTCTAGGGTTCCTTCCAAATACACGAAACAAATGAGATTAACTTGCAAAAACTGGAACGCTTTGTTCGAAAACAAGAGCTTTAGGAAGATGCACATTGAAAAAGAAGAAGCAGCAGCTAGAAAATTAGGGTTGACACGAATGGTCATGATGATGAATCACAATGTTTATCTAATGGGCATCACCGTCAATGAGAATCCATCCATACACTGTCTAGGTAAACTCGGTTCAAAAAAAGTCAAGATAAACCAAGTCTATCATTGTGAGGGTTTATTGTTATGCATCTTGAAAGATGATGATACTACTAAGGTTTTGGTTTGTAATCCGTATTTGAGGCAAACAAGGTGGATCCAAACAAGAAAGTTTCACCATGCAGGTGAATATTTTTACATTTACGCTATCGGATATAATGATAATAGCCCGAAAATTTTGAGGTTTATTATCAGACAAGAACAAAACCTCACTTTAAGGTATGAAATCTACGATTTTGATACTGATTTATGGACTATTTTCGAAGTGACTCCAAACTGGCGTATAGTATGTCATGGCGGCTTTTCTCTCAAGGGAAATACTTACTGGTGTGCTGTAGAAGTACAAAATGCACTCAGTGTAGTAAATCATATAATCTGTTTTGATTTTACAAGAGAGAGATTTGGACAGCTTATACCTCTACCGTTTAAGGCTTTAGGTTTACAGTTTGCTTCGTTTTCTTCGATTAGAGGTGAGAACATGGCGGCTTTGTTTCAGTCAATGGAGTCACTAAAGGTTGAGATATGGGTTACTACTAAGATTGATGGCGAAAATGCGTCGTGGAGCAATTTGTTCACATTGAATAATATGCCATATCTTGACAAGAAGCTTATATGTACGACTTTCTTGTTGGACGAGGAGAAGAAAGTTGCGGTGTGTTTTGATGATGAAAGGATTGGCACACACAATGTTATTAATATCATAGGAGAGGCTGGATTCTTGAGGAAATTGGAGCTTGGAGAACCCGCATGCGTAGGTTGGCCACGCTTGTGTCCTTATGTTCCAAGTATAGTGCAAATCAAGAAACGTAATAGAGTGAAAGGATAAAGCAAAGTGGTTATAATAAGCTAGGAAAGGCATGGAGATCAATATGTTAATAACATGGTGAGAGACATGGATAAACGAATGAAGCAAGAGAAGGTGGCCAAAGTAGGAAACGAGCTTAGAGTTGAATTGATTAGTCTCAGTTTTACAAAGTCTAGTATTTATATATATGTTTAGCAATATTAATTTATTTCTTATCGTCTATTGATTTATATGAACAAGATTTTACTTTTTTGAAATTTATATAACCATTGGGTGATCCATTAAATGACCTAGTTTGGTACATAAAGTATCACATCCCTCTTTGTCTTTGGAGGTCGTTAACGTAATAAGTTGCAAGTAAATGACTTATTAACTAGGTTACATGAAAATTCATTACAAGCATTAGCCATTGCGACTGTTGCAATGGTTATATATTCATTGATTCATTCAAATTAATTTTTCAATATATCGACTGCGAATGACTATTGAACCTAACGATCGAGTAACCGAATGCGACTAACGTGACTTTGACACTCTTGATTGGCTAAAGGAGAGATGCATACTTGGTGTACACAATTATAACGTTGAACATTATATAAAAAAGCCCGACTAGATTATGAAACCTTTTAATTTGGCCCAACTTCACTTAGGGTTTCTTCTTTCTTGTTCCACAAACCTTACGAGTCGCAAAAGGTTTCTGAATTAGGTCCCTTGTTTCTCAACTTGAAACAATGACGACGACGACGATGTCAAACCTACCAAAATATATGGTAGAGGGGATCCTCTCAAGGGTTCCTTTTAAATACATGAGATCAGCAATGCTATTAACTTGCAAGAACTGGAACGCTTTGTTCAGAAGCAAGTGTTTTGCGAAGATGATACTTGAAAAAGAAGAAGAAGCAGCCAGGGAATTAGGGGAGACTCGGATGGTCGTGATGATGATTCACAATGTTTATCTGATGGGCATCACCATCAATGAGAATCCATCTACACGTTTTCTAGGTAAACTTACTTATGGTTCAGAACAAGTCAAGATATATCAAGTCTTTCATTGTGAGGGCTTATTGTTATGCATCTTGAAAGAAGATGATACTAAGATTTTGGTTTGGAATCCGTATTTGGGGCAAACAAGGTGGATCCAAACCAGCGAGTTTTACTATGCAATTGAACTAAAAGGACGAGATTTTTTTTATGCATGTTATTGGATACACAAATAATAGTGAGACTCGTGGTTACAAAATTTTGAGATTTATAGATGAGTTATGTCATTTTAACCTTAAATACAATGTTTTACGGTATGAAATCTACGATTTTGATACTGATTTATGGACTACACTAAGTCTGAATCCAGACTGGCGTATAGTATCTCATTGTGGCATTACTCTCAAAGGAAACACTTACTGGTGCGCTAATGAACGTAATGCATATAGATTAAGTGATCATATAATCTGTTTTGATTTTACAAGAGAGAGATTTGGATCGCTTCTTCCTCTACCGTTTAAGGCTTGGGGTTCGCATTCTCCGTCACTTTCTTTGGTTAGAGAAGAGAATATTGCGGCTTTGTTTCAGACATCTCAATCATCTAACGTTGAGATATGGATTACTACAAAGATTGATGTCACAAATGTGTCTTGGAGCAATTTCTTCACGGTGAATATGATAGCATTTGGCAAGAAGCTTCTACGTATGTCTTTCTTAATAGATGAGGATAAGAAAGTTGCTATGGTTTTTGGTAAGGACATAAGAATCCTCCAAAACACTATGCATATCATTGGAGAGTCTGGATGCTTGAGGATATTTGAGATAGGACAACTCGCAAACAAAAACTGTTGGCCACGTGTGTGCTCTTATGTTCCGAGTATAGTGCAAATCAAGCAACACATAGTATGCAAAAGCACGATGTTGTCGACAAAAGGGACAGACCGAAGCAATTAGTAAGGGGAATCAACATCGATCGATCGAAACATGTTGAGACATGATAAACGAATCAAGCAAGAGATGTGTGTGGGCCGTGTGGCAAAGTCTAGTTTATACTTTATAATACATGTCTTTCATTTACCCTTTGTTTTATGTTAGCAACATTATATTTTCTCCATATAATTAAAGAAGATTTTATGTTTTAGTTATTACAAAACCGCATTAGATGACCTAGTTTGGTCTAAATGATATCACATCCCTTTCGGGAGCTAGGTGGTTTAAGAGATCACAGTTTGGTCTGAAAATATATATTACATCGTAGCAAAGTAGTTAAGTACATCATTAACACATAAGCAATTTTTGAGATTAATTAATGAAGATCCAACGTAACGTAGCTGCCGGTATCCAAGAACAAACTTATAAAAGTTAGAGAATTAAACATCAATTAAAAGCATAAATCAACGAGATTTTAAAAGAACTGTAGTTATGATCTTAATGACATTGACAACATAAACCCTGATCGATTGTAAACAAACCCTAAAAAAGTTCAACTCTATAACTATTTTTAGATACAACATATATACTCCTACTTCACTAGTCCAATTGGTTCCTTTTTTGTTTTTTTTTTTTTTTGTTTTGTTTTCCATAACTATATTACCTAGCTACTAGATTTTAACCCGCGGTACACCGCGAGATAAACATTTTCTTTGTAATTCATGTTTTTTAAAATTGATAGATTTTGTTGGAGTTTATTTAATAATTATCAAGATTGCATAATATCAAATTTTATTAAATTAATTTAATTATACATGTTTTATACCAGCGTTGTTAAAAAAATAGTAAAATGATCTGTATTGAACTGTGAGATTATTAAAATTATATTTTTTTAATAATATCAACTTAATTATGTTCTGTCTTACAACCTGTCCCGTCGTATAATATGCTGGAAGCATAGTATAACTTTTCCCGTGTTATACCCCGTCATGTCATATAATCGCCAAAAAAATAAAAATCCAAATGGCAAAGTCAATAATATTTTAGTATAAACTTGGTGTAGAGCCAAAATATTTTAAATATTTTAAACTTTATATGTAGTTAACAACTATTTCCGTCTTACAACCCGTCCCCTCATATATTCTCCAATAAATTAAATCCATGTTTATAGTCCCGTCATTCGTAGTTGGAAGATGATAACCTTATTTATAAAGGTTCTGTACCAGTATCAAAAAACTATATTCCATATGAGATGTTGTACATATGCTTAAAAATTGTAATATACGTCGGTTTAAAAAAATCAAATTGCAGTATATGCAGAAAAAATTTGTATTTTTATTATACATATGTTTTATGTAATAAAATAAATGAAAAACAAATAAGAGCATTTTTTGGAGAAATATTTGAGAAAATGTGGAAAATAAGAAATGATATTATATTTATTAGGGAGAGATTTTAGGGATTTTGGTAAAAATGATTGTTATTATTTTCAAAATTGTAATTAAATAATTAATGTTAATGGCAAAGCTTTGTAAATAACATCCAACTCCAAGGTTTTTTTTTTTTTAAATGCTGCAAAAATGTTAATATAGATATGAAAAGGCTTTGATAATAAACTTGATCATCAAATTCCGTTAGGATTACATATAATTTTTCATCAAAGTCTTTTTTTAAATCTTTCAAAAGATTTTTTTTTGAATAAGAAATTATGTAATTCTTTTACAAAAAATAATTATAAGATAGATTTAGGGTCTGATTGGTTAAAAGCAGTGAGTATCATTGCAGATGCAAGAGTTTAATGAAATAAACTGTTGTGATTTTAAATATTTTAAACGGCTAGTTTAGTACAGTTTAGTAAATATAATATATAATCTATTAAAGGTATCAAATACGTCCAAAACAATATTATTATGATAAGATATGAATAATTTGAAGATACTTATTATTGAAAAACCATTAAAAAGTACTAAATATCCCTTAAAACAAACTCTAATAGTGTTAGTTAATCAAGAATACCTTTAATTGTATGAAAATACATAATATGCAATTGATCTTAATGACAAAAAACAAAAATATGCTACCAAATATTTTCACAGCTTTAGATATTTTTGTTTTGGAGATGATTTAGTCGACTGAAAATGCATAAATTGAATGGTACGTACATAGCTACGATTCTCTTATGAAGAGCGTTAATAAGATAACTAGAAATTATGAAGTTTATAGAGATTCTCTTAAACCCCCTAAGATTAAGGGCTATCGATGCTTCTCACCACCACAACTTCTTTTTTATCTCGCTTTTCTATTAAAGTTCAGTTCTCTTGGATTTTGTTTGTGATACCATTGTATAAAATGATTTCACGATTAACGTTTAAGAATATGTTAGTTAGTGTTAGCTTCTATATTCTATAATAGCTTTCTTTTTTTAAAAAAAAAAATCATAAGATAGAAAAGCCAAAACCAACACTATCCTTCATTCAATTTGATATATTATTTCTAAATTTTTTACAAATATGATAGTAACGAAAACAAGCTATATTGCGTATTTATTTTGACATTGTAGGATTGACTTGCAGTTTTTGGATTTGGAGGGTAAAATTGCGACGAGAGTTTATTTGCACAAAACCCATTAATAAACACGAGACATAATTTAATTTAGAAATGTTCGTACAATGAGATACTAAAAGGTTTTTTTTTTTAATAAAGATTCAATTAAAAATATTTCCTAAGCAAATGAGATCCAATGAAACATATTTTCCTAATAATGTTGGAGCTAAACAATGATTTACACACAATTCTCCTACTTTAATTACATAAATCTCTAATAATTTATGTTACATATACAAAACAAATTTTATGATATTCATAAAATCTCTTAAAGTTAGATTATTTAGTACCAAAAAAAAACAAATCTCTAATAATTTATGTAAAATTTTACTTGTAAATTGTAATAATTCAATGAGATATTAATCTAAATTCGTTGACAAATTAAAATTAAATTAGATTCATTTCACTACATCTCTTATTCAACGCCCAAAAAAACCAAAGTCAATTAGTCAATGCCACTCGTGAAAACTACCCAAAAGATAAAAGTCATCGACTGCACCCAATCTCTTATTACAAGTATAGCCACGTGTCATAATCTTAGATGCTTAAATACTTGCCACGTCACTCGTTGTCTCTCTCGATTTCTCAAATCGCGTTTCTTCTGGTGGAGGTCAAACTTTTTTTTTTTGATCAGAAAATAAAAGTCACAGTGGAAACCAAAATCGTAAAAAAAAAAAAAAAAATCAAAACTTTAGAAGACCAAAGAAAAAAATCTAATTTTGTTTTTTGTTTGGTTTCAATTTCAATGGTGTCTCGGCTTCGTCTTGTTCTAGAGTACTTCTAGTCTTTCTTTGCTTACTGAGAAGATTTTTTTCCTTATTTGTGAATTTTTTTTTCTTTTTATTGTTGAAGACGGATTTGGTTGGTTTTTAGGGCTGTTTTGGGTTCGAGACGACGTAAGAAGAAGATGGCGAGTACTAGTGGTGGTGGCGGTGGTGGTGGTGGTGGGAAGAAGAAAGGTTTCTCTGTAAGCCCTAAAGATTATAAACTTATGGAAGAAGTTGGATATGGTGCTAGTGCTGTTGTTCGTCGTGCTATTTATCTCCCGACTAATGAAGTTGTTGCTATCAAGTGTTTGGATCTCGATCGCTGCAATAGCAATCTGGTTTGTCTTTTTATAATTGATTCTTGTTTGTGTGAGTTTGGCTTTAGCTTCTTCGAATTCGAATTTGAGGGTGATTTGTGTTGTATTGTGTGGTAGCTTCATAAAAATTGAAACTTTGCTTCGTTATTGCAATAAGGCTTTTGATCTTGTTTGTGAGTTTAGCTTTAGCTTCGAATTTGAATTTGAGGGTGATTTGTTTTGTGTTGTGTACTTGTGTGTGTTTTGAGAGTTGGGGATTTTTGAAATTATGTGATAGCTTCATAAAAATTGAAACTTTGCTTCGTTGTTGCAATAAAGCTATAATCTTGTTTCTAGTTTGTGAGTTCGACTTCGAATTTGAGGGTGATTTGTTTTGTGTTGTGTGTGTTTTGAGAGTTGGGGATTTTTGAGGTTATGTGGTAGTATCATAAAAATTGAAACTTTGCGTCATTGTTGCAATAAAGCTATCATCTTGCTTTGAGTTTAGCATTAGCTTCGCATTGAATTTGAGGGTGATTTGTTTTTGTGTTGTGTGTGTTTTGAGAGTTGGGGATTTTTGAGATTTTGTGGTAGCTTCATAAAAATTGAAACTTTGCTTCGTTGTTGCAATAAAGTTATCATCTTGTTTGATGGGTTATGGCCAATATGTTTATTAGTCTTAGTGAAATCAAATCATTCTGCTATATACGCCGGTACTTATTGTAGATCATCTTCCCATTTCGCGTTTGGGTTTTGGTTGGTTTTATCATTTGGATCAAATGGGATAGTTATTAGATTTCTCTGTCTCTCTCCTTTTCCTTTTCATGTTATTTTTCCGAATCTTGTGTTTCACTTTCCGAAAGTTAATGTTTTCTTTTGGGTATTTAAGGATGATATAAGGAGGGAGGCTCAGACTATGACTTTAATAGACCATCCGAACGTTATAAAGTCGTTTTGTTCGTTTTCTGTTGAGCATTATCTCTGGGTCGTCATGCCATTTATGGCTCAGGGTTCGTGTTTGCACCTTATGAAGGCAGCGTATCCAGATGGCTTTGAAGAAGCGGCTATATGTTCTATGCTGAAAGAAACACTTAAAGCTCTTGATTATCTTCATAGACAAGGGCATATCCATCGAGATGTTAAGGTCAGCTTTTTCTTTGTTTTACATTCGATCTTTATATGCCATTTATCATCCATGACATGTATTTAAAACTTTCTTTTGTATCTTATATATTAGGCTGGAAACATACTTCTTGATAACACTGGTGAGATTAAGCTAGGTGATTTTGGTGTCTCTGCATGCTTATTTGACAATGGTGATAGGCAACGTGCAAGAAACACATTTGTTGGTACTCCGTGCTGGTTGGTTATTGTAGTTTTCTTCATTTCAGTCTTCTTAAGCTTCAAATTATCTACTCGACGTTGATGTGTCATATCTTGTATCCATTTGTAGGATGGCACCAGAAGTCTTGCAGCCAGGAAGTGGATACAATTCAAAGTGAGTTTATGCTTTAAAATTACGTGCTAACTAACTAGTATACTCTACATCTCTGCATGGTCCTTGTTATATATAGCAGTTGGTTCGATTTGGTATGTGCCATTCAACTTCTCAAAATTGAATGCCCCTGATTTTTAGTTGATCTAGATAGTGTTTGTGATTGTTTCAGCCCCTTGGTGTTTTAAAGCTACTATCAGTTTATGCTTTGATATAAATTGCCAGCTAATATACGCTACTTCTCTGCATGGTCCTTGTTATATATAGCAATTAATTCAATTTGGCATGTGTCATCCAACTTCTCAATATCAAGTGCCACTGATTTTTAGTTGGTCTAGATAGTGTTGTGATTGTTCCTACCATATGAGTATCTTCTATGTCAAATGATATTCAAATTCGAAGAAGTGCAATAACAGCTATTGGTTGGTTTGATCTTATGTACCTTCGTTACAGGGCTGATATCTGGTCTTTTGGAATAACTGCGCTGGAGTTGGCTCACGGTCATGCACCTTTCTCAAAATATCCCCCTATGAAGGTATTCATTATTTTGTTTATGTGTATTGAGAACAGATCTTATTCCTTTTTCCTTGTGATAGGTACTCTTAATGACTATTCAAAATGCACCCCCTGGCCTTGATTATGACCGTGATAAGAAGTTTTCAAAGGTACGCGTGTTCTTCCTAGGTATATATTCTTATTTTATTTAAATACTTTCCATTTCAAGGATTGTTCTAACTAGAAGATGTCCAGCTGTGCCCAGTCCTTTAAAGAATTGGTAGCATTGTGTCTAGTGAAAGATCAAACAAAAAGGCCAACTGCTGAAAAGTTGTTGAAACACTCATTTTTCAAGAATGCAAAGCCTCCAGAGATCTGTGTGAAAAAACTATTTGCCAATTTACCACCTCTTTGGACCCGCGTAAAAGCTCTTCAGGTTTGCCATGCTTATCTCTTCATCGATCTTGCGGCACTTGTCCTGGTCTACTTTAATTGATAGAGTCATTGTACAACAGGCCAAAGATGCTGCACAGATAGCTTTGAAAGGAATGGACCAGGATGCTATATCGCAGGTAAGAAACACAGAAGTTTGAAATTATTACTTAACTCCAGTTGCAGAAAGCAGAATAGTTATAAAAAGTTATTTTTCCATATCAGAGTGAATACCAAAGAGGAGTAAGTGCTTGGAACTTCAATATCGAAGATTTGAAAGAACAAGCATCCTTGGTAAGATATACTTTGATGGTATCTCTTAAATGATGTCATTTAAGAAACCATTGGTTTCCATCAAATAGTCCGTTCTTGCTTATTTTTTCTTTCTTTTTTTGGTGGTCAATAGCTAGATGATGACGACATTCTAACAGAGAGTAGGGAAGAAGATGAATCTTTTGGCGAACAGTTGCATAATAAGGCTAGTAATTTGCAAATAAATATTTGGAGAAAACATCTTATAACTCTTCACTCTTTTGGTATCTGGTGGTTTGAACTTACTTGGGAAACACATTGCAGGTGAATGACAGAGGGCAAGTATCTGGTGATCAACTGCAATCCGAAAACATGAATGAGAAGGAAAAAGTTTCAGATACTGAGGTGGTAGAACTTATCCGTGAAGAGAAATCCACTCTCAATTCAACTGCTTCTTCTGTGGAACAAGTGGCACCAAGTTCAGAACAAGACGTTCCACAGGCAAAGGGTAAGCCAGTGAGACGGCAGACTCATAGTGGACCACTTGCATCCGGTATCGTGCTAAACAATTCAGACTCAGAGAAGGGTCAAAGTTATGAAAGGTTAGCCATTAGCTAAATGCTGTTTAAGAGGTCATTGGGTTACATTCTCCTACACTTCAGATGTGCTTCTCGTTTCTTTCGCAACTTTCAAATGCTCCAACATTAAAATTTGCTATCTGCTAGGTCTGATAGTGAACGGCTGCTGAAAACATCAGTTCGGAGGGCTCCCAGCTTTAGTGGTCCTTTGAATCTCCCTAATCGTGCTTCAGCGAACAGTTTTTCAGCTCCTATCAAATCTTCTGGAGGTTAGGAAATACATTTTAGACCTTCATGCAGCTTAGTAATTTCAGTTTCTTCTACTGCAGTTTACTAAGGTTGGTTGTCCATATTGTATAGGATTCCGTGATTCTATAGATGACAAGTCGAAGGCTAGTGTGGTTCAAATCAAAGGAAGATTTTCAGTAACATCAGAAAACTTGGATCTTGCAAGGGTGGGTATATCTTTATCTGTTATTTGCATTCTTTTTTATTTGAAAGTGACCAACCTAACCTAGGATATTCGACTAAGTATAGTCCCGTGTCGAACTTCGCGGGTTTGTTTTAGTCTCTGTGTTTTAATGTAGAGTGTATAGTGATGATTTTGTCACGTGTGTTTAGCTTGATTAATTCATACTCTTCAATCTACAGGGATCCCCGTTGAGAAAATCTGCCAGTGTTGGGAATTGGATACTTGATTCCAAAATGGTTAATTTGCTACCACGAAAAGTTCTTTTAGTCAGGAAAATTTTATGCCTTCTTATCATAACGATCTTATTTTTCTGTCAACAGCCAACGGGTCAGCCCATCAAGGAGTCAAGTACTAATCAAGCGTCCTCATTCATTATGCCTCATCTTCAAAATATGTTCCACCAAAATTCCATACAACAGGTGAGAAAATAAATATATGAACATTTTCACACTGACACATGAGTGTAACTTACATTGTATGGTTCCTCAATTTATGTATTGTCTTAACGGAACTCTCTAACTTCAGGATCTTATTATGAATTTACTGAATAATTTACAACAAGCTGCTGAAGCAACAGATGGTAAGATAGACACGTCTATCCTCTCTGTCTGTTTGATGATGAAATTATTGGCTACAGTTGATCAGTTCTGATACTTGTTATAGGTTCTCAAAATGGAAAGTTGCCGCCTTTGCCTCGAGGATCTGACAGCAATGGAACCGTAAGTAGATTTATCAACATTGTTCTTTGAATTAATGTTATTGCTTCACATAGACCTATTATGCGGTCTCAAAATCATGTCCTTCACATTCTTTGTCTTTGGTTTGAGATCACAGATTGTTGAACTTACAGCTTCTGAGAGAGAGAGGTTACTACTTACCAAGATAACCGAGCTTCGAGCTAGGTAGTTCCTCTTTTTCAAGCAATCAACCTTTTTTAGTTGAGATCAAAGTGGTATAGTCTTCCTAAATACTTTTCAAATGCAATTTCGTAGGATGAAAGAGTTGACAGAAGAACTTGAAGAAGAGAAAGCAAAACAGACCCAAGTAAGTCAAACATACTTTGATCACAATGAAACAAATTTGCTAGTTGTTGAAACCGAAACCACATCGAGCTAAATCTGATTTCTGAACCATAATCATTCAAACATCTCTTGTGTTTTATTCTACAGCTGCAGCAGAAACTTAAACAAGTCACTGGTCGCGAGCAATTGTAACCAGAGACCAGAACAGCTTACTACACAGAAGCTTTTAGGAGAAGAGAAAAAGTATATTTTGTACACTTGAGAAAACCAGAGAACTCTCTGATCATGAAAGCAAAAAAGGACAGGGGTTGGTTCTGTTCTATATGTGCAGAAGCAAACATCATCGGCCATTTGTTGTTGACAGAAGAAGCGGGGAAACAAAACATATAGAGAATAAAATAGAGAAGAAAGCTCTTGGTCATGGAAGAAAAATTGTATTTGTTTATTTAATCTCAAATTTTTAAACCTTATAGTTTGAGTTAAAGATTGTTGTTCTTATTAGCAACTAATATAGACTTAAACCTCTTTTTTTTGTGGATTGTAAATGAAACTTGATTTGAGGTATTTGTATTATATCCATCAGATTCTTTTACTAAGAATTAGTTTGGCCCTTTGTTACAAAGATATGATTCATATTCTGTAGAATCAAAGCTACACAATCTAACTATCACCTATGATCCTTTTGCTAAATCTAGAGTGGTTAAGCCTTCAAGAATCAGCTCGCTTTTGGTTCCAGGTACTTTCTTCTTAGACCACTTCCACCGCAAGAAAAACACAACCATGTAAGCGAAAACAACGATTATTACCGAACCCACACTAACCGAGAAGTACCACATTGTATCTGGAGATATAACTGACATAGAAACCAAGTAAGAAACATACAATGGCACTGCTATCCAGAGAAACCACCATACATAGCCTTCACCAGCTGGTAACAAACAAAACGCCATAAAGATCGCTCCAACGAAAGCCATACTATTCACACCCCGAAGAACATAGAAATATTTATGATTCATCACAACAGTACCAACAGTCTTTTTACTTTCTTCTGCTGCATTTTCTTGGTATACACCTCCTGGTGGCTGCAAAGCTGTTTGATAAGTAGCTGTGATTATCAAAGCGGCTATCACTAAAAGCGCGCTGCGTGTTCCATCCGAAGTCTGGTTCCTATACCGCGCTGTCTGCGTGAACAAATGCTCAGTGAAACCAATTGAAGACCTCAAGATTTCCGACACTTTCTTGGATTTCGGTAAAGAGTCTCCACTCTTACCTCCCCATTTTCGGATTATGTTTTCGATGTTACTGTTCATGTGATGATCTCTCTGGTTATGTAAGATATCTAGGACGGTTAAACCAATCTGGTTATGGATGTTTCTGTTAACTACAGAACATTTTACCAAGAGCTTTACTGCTTTGAATCTGTTCTGATATGCTGCTATGTGTAGAGCTGTGTTACCGTCATGATCACGTTTGTTCAAGAATTGCATCTCAAGCGACTCAGCATCAGTTTGACGCAGTCTTTGGACCCATCCCAAGAGTACTTCAAGCTCTTCGTACCTATCATTCGAAACCGCGATGTGTAGAGCGGTTTCACCATACACGTTTGCATCTCTAATGCAACTAGGACAAGCTAAAAGGAACTCTGTCATAAGATCAGTCTCACCTCTTCTGACTACTTGATGAAACGGTGTCGTACCTTATATATTCGATATCAAAGTTACTTCAACTTTTCATAGTAACAAAAGATCAAAGAACTTCAAGAAATGAAATATATATACCTTCTCTTCCTCGAAGGCGAATAAGGTCAGGATCAACCTTGACTAAACTTAGAACCAACTGTGTTTGACCTTCCTCTATAGCAAGATGCAATGGACTTAAACCATATGTGTTAAGTTTCCTAGCAAAAGACGGCTTAAGATTCATCAGCTCCATGGCAAAAGCAAGGTTGCCAGAAGCAGAAGCTACATGAAGAGGAGTGTTGATGAAAGGTATTGTATCAATGATTTCAAGAATGTATGGATTCTCATGGATATGAGTATATAATTCATCTATGCTTCTGATTTGAGTGGCTATGATCAATCTTGGATCCATTATGTCAAAGAACAAGAAGGACCAACTCTTTTTTTTTTGGTTCAAGAAAGAGAAAACTTACAATTACTTGTGTGATAATATGGTATCGTTTGAAAAAGTATTTGATGATGACTTGACCCATCATTTGTTTAATGGAATGGATTTGATTTGACTTTGGCTAAAAGCCAATAGATGACAAAACACTAGAGGAAGAACTCAGAAAGAGACTACAAAAGTTTTGTCCTAAAGAAACTATAGTATTTACTATAACCTGGTCCATTAGTATATGAACAAACAATCCAATCCAAGAAACAAAATCAAGAAAGTTATTTATACTTTTCAAGAAATTAATTATCGATGTGTTTTTGCATTCCTCTACGGGGTTGTGTGAGTCTTGTTTTGTGTATTTCACGTGTCACAAGATCTGAACTTTTATAATAAATATGTTCATATTATGTTGAATTGAAAAACGAAAGATTCAAGTTATTCAAATACTATATATCAGTGATAAAACAAGCTACATAGTCTTCTTTGTTACGACATGTTTCATCATAGTCACAGTATGCTTTAACAAGCGTAGTCTTGCCTATCCCAAGGTTATCCCATATCGAGTTGTGCATCATTACATTCTTGTCGAGCAATCTCCCACTAGGTCCGAGTAAAACTCCAGTTCTATCTGCATGTAAGAGCTTCTCATCACAAGAATTATCCAAAATTAATCAAAATTTACCCGACCAAACACGAAAGATCCAAATTACTTAACAAAACTGATCTGAATTGAGCATAAAACTAGTAATTTGTATATATTATAAAATTAATAATTTGTATCTATTATTTCGGTTTAGGGACATTCAAGTGGATTTTGGTTATAATCCGATCGTCACTAAAATCTGAATCACATTCTGTATAAACCATCCAATCGGATTTTACTAAATTCCAAAACGAGTTTAGGTCGGATTTCTTAGTTGTATTAAGTTCTGTTTTTTAAAGACAGATGAATTTATTTTCTACAGAAAAAATACAACAAAAATAAAATCTATAGCAACATCCAAACTTTTTTAAAAAAAAATAAAGCTACGGCCATAACTAATTGGGCCCTATATGTACCAATCTTAGTAAACTAGAATGATAGCAAATTATTAAAAACATTTTTTTAACACTAAGAAAAGCCCAAAATTGTCTTATTAAAAGCCTATTAAGTTAAAGGGTCTCTTATTAAGATTCTTTTTATGGGCCTGATATATTAAGCCCAAACTATTGTGTTCAAAAAAACCCAAGTCGGTGTTTTACACTAAGAAAAGCCCAACCAAAATCAAAATAAATATACGTTCCACTCTCAGAATTGCCTCGTAGAAGAGCTATTTTTTCTTTGGTTACTTTTTAGTTTACTCTCATTCTCTCTCGAGGAGAGCCTCGCCGGAGCTTTTTTTTTCTTTGTTCTTCTTCTTGTTCCTCGGCGTAAACCGCCGTCGTGTGAAGCTACCACGTTATTTTTCCTCCTTCACGAACTTTTTCGGTAAACTCTTTGATTTCATTTTTTCTTGTTCTTCCCCCTTTTCACGATTTCTCACTGTTTTAATCGTCGATTCAACTTGTTCTTGTCTCGTTTTCGTGTTCTTTGATTTGATTCTTCGTTTGAAATCGTATTCTTAACTCGATCTGTTTTGATTTTGCTGCATTAGACAGAGTAATTGATTTTTTTTTTGTTTTGTTTCTCGTTTTTCGATTTCTAGGGTTTCGGCGTTGCTTCCACTTGCGCCGCTGCTTCTTTTTTGAGATTTCTTTGATTCTATTCGAGGTGGGTTTTTTTTTTTCTTGCTCTATTTTTTCGTTCTGGGTGTTGAATTTGGTGGATTTTGCTGCGAATTTAGACCTAGTTTGAAGCTATGAAACCCTAGATTTGATTCTGATGCGTTAAAGTGATCTTTCGAATGAGTCTATTGTTTTGAATTTCACCTTTCTTCATTCATGTCAAAAGGGTTTAGGTTTGTGCATCTCTCTGGCGTTTATGATATAAGCTTTCTTATTACTTTTGTTTCGCAGATAAGTTGCTGCGTGACTCTTTAGATGGCAGGGAATGGTAATGTGCGAGCTCCTATTGGCGGAGTGCCTCCAAAACCTGGGAATACCTACTCCATAAATGTTAAAAACTTTATCTCACGTGCAAGAGCCTTGTATGAACACTGGAAGAAGCACAGTGCAGACATGTGGGGATCTGCGGACGCTCTTGCCATTGCTACCCCTCCTGCTTCTGATGATCTGCGCTACCTGAAATCGTCAGCGCTGAATATTTGGCTTCTTGGGTATGAGTTTCCAGATACAATAATGGTTTTTACCCCCAAGCAGATCCACTTCTTGTGTAGCAGGAACAAGGCATCTCTACTTGAAGTTGTGAAGAAACCTGCACATGATGAGTTGAAGGTTGATGTTGTTATGCATGTTAAGCCTAAGGGTGATGATGGAACAGGGCTGATGGATGCCATATTTCGTGCCATCCGAGAGCTATCACGGGGTGATGGAAATGATTCACAAGTTGTAGGACACATTGCTCGTGAAGTCCCTGAAGGTAAGCTTCTGGAGACATGGACTGACAGGCTAAAGAATGCAAAATTCCAGTTTGTAGATATAACTGGGGGGCTGTCTGATCTCTTTGCTGTTAAAGACGATACTGAGGTCATGAGTGTGAAGAAAGCTGCGTATCTAGCTTACAGTGTGATGAAAACTGTTGTTGTCCCAAACCTTGAGGGTGTCATTGATGAGGAGAAAGACATCACCCACTCTGCCTTGATGGATCTCACTGAGAAAGCGATACTTGAGCCTACTAAGGCCGGTGTGAGGCTGAAGCCAGAAAATGTCGACATATGCTATCCTCCGATATTTCAAAGCGGAGGCAAGTTTGATCTTAAACCAAGCGCTGCAAGCAATGATGAACTGCTCACTTATGATCCAGCGAGTATCATAATATGTGCTGTTGGTGCTCGGTATAATAGTTATTGCTCAAACGTTGCCAGGACTTACCTAATAGATGCAACTTCTCTCCAGATCAAGGCATATGAGGTTCTTCTCAAAGCACATGATGCTGCTATTAATGCTTTAAGGTCAGGAAGAAAGATCAATACTGTCTATCAAGCTGCCCTTTCGGTTGTTGAAAAGAATGCCCCTGAGTTCGTTGACAAGCTAACTAAATCTGCTGGGACTGGTATCGGTCTTGAATTCCGAGAGTCGGGATTAAATATTAATGCAAAGAATGATAAAGTATTGAGACCAAATATGGCATTTAATGTGTCTCTTGGCTTACAGAACTTGGAATGTGAGTCGGAAAGCCGCAGCAAGATCAAGAAATTCTCACTTTTGCTAGCTGACACAGTTCTCGTCACGGAACAGAATCCGGAAATTATAACCAAGTGCTCTAAATCTGTTAAGGATGTAGCTTACTCCTTCAAAGAGGATGAAGAAGAAGAAAAACCAAGGAAGAAGGCGAAGATCAGTGGTTCTGAGAACTACATCACTAAGACAGCCCTTAGATCAGATGACCACGTGGTGTCAAAAGAAGAGCTACGGAAGCAGCATCAGGCAGAGCTTGCACGTCAGAAAAATGAAGAAACTGCCAGAAGGCTTGCTGGTGACAGTTCTGGGGCGGGAGACAGCCGGTCTACTTCAAAGACTTCAGCTGATGTGGTTGCCTACAAGAATGTTAATGACATGCCCCAACCTCGGTCTTTGGAAGTCCAGACTGATAGTAAGAACGAGGCTGTTTTGTTACCAATCTATGGTAGCTTGGTTCCATTCCATGTGGCTACAATAAGAACAGTGTCAGGCAATCAAGATACCAACAGGAATTGTTACATCCGTATCATTTTCAATGTCCCTGGTACACCCTTCAACCCTCATGACTCAAACTCATTGAAAAACCAGGGTGCTATCTACCTCAAGGAGGTTTCATTCCGGACCAAGGATTCAAGGCATAGCAGTGAAGTAGTTCAGCAGATTAAGGCCCTCAGACGGCAAGTCATGGCCCGGGAGTCAGAGAGAGCTGAAAGGGCGACACTGGTGACCCAAGAGAAACTTCAGCTTGCAGGGAACAAGTTCAAACCCCTCAGGCTGTCTGAGCTGTGGATCCGTCCGCCTTTTAGTGGCCGCAAGAAGATTCCTGGGACACTCGAAGCTCATGCCAATGGTTTCAGGTATTCAACAACTAGGCCTGACGAGCGCGTGGATGTCCTGTTTGCAAACATAAAGCATGCGTTTTTCCAGCCGGCTGAGAAGGAGATGATCACCCTCCTTCATTTTCATTTGCACAACCACATCATGGTAGGAACCAAGAAAACAAAGGATGTCCAATTTTACGTGGAGGTAATGGATGTTGTGCAGTCTTTAGGTGGTGGGAGGAGATCAGCCTATGATCCAGATGAGATTGATGAAGAACAGCGGGAGCGTGATAGGAAAAACAAGATCAACATGGATTTTAATCATTTTGCAAACCGGGTCAATGATATGTGGCAACTACCCCAGTTTGCAAGTCTGGACCTCGAGTTTGATCAACCTCTGAGAGAGCTTGGTTTCCATGGTGTTCCGCACAAGACATCTGCATTCATTATACCGACTTCCAGCTGCTTAGTTGAGCTCATAGAATACCCGTTCCTCGTGGTCAGTCTGAGTGAGATTGAGATTGTGAATCTTGAAAGAGTTGGATTTGGGCAGAAGAACTTTGACATGGCCATCATCTTCAAGGACTTCAAAAAAGACGTTCTTAGGGTTGACTCAGTTCCCACAAGTTCGCTAGAGGGGATAAAGGAGTGGCTTGACACTACAGATATAAAGTACTACGAGAGCAAACTGAATCTGAACTGGAGACAGATCCTGAAGACGATCACAGATGATCCTCAGAGCTTTATAGATGATGGAGGATGGGAGTTTTTGAATCTGGACGGAAGTGATTCAGAATCTGGCGGGTCTGAGGAGTCAGACAAAGGATATGAACCATCAGATGTAGAGGTTGAGTCTGAGTCAGAGGATGAGGCTTCGGAGAGTGAGTCACTGGTAGAATCAGAGGATGAAGAAGACGAGGACTCAGAGCAAGAGTCAGAGGAAGAGAAAGGTAAGACTTGGGATGAACTGGAGAGAGAAGCTACTAATGCAGACAGAGAGCATGGAGTTGAGTCTGATAGTGAGGAAGAGAGGAAGAGAAGGAAGATGAAAGTGTTTGGGAAATCGCGACCAGGAGGTAGCAGTGGTAGCAGCATGAAGAACATGCCACCATCAAAACGCAAGCACAGCCACAGGTGAAAAGGATCAAAAGTTTCGAATTCTGCTCATCATTGTTCTCATTAGAGATGATGAAACGAAACAAGACCTTTATTTTCCCAGGTTAAAAATTAGTCTTTTTTTTTGGTTTGTTGGCAAACAAAAACTAGCGTTTTGGTTATTGGTTTTAATCAGTCTTTTGTATTATAAGAAAAAACTTCTTTAGATAATTATTAATCTACGAAAATAATTCTAGATTATTACAAGTCTCTTTCTTTGCTAAACTTGATGTTCAATCTCTAAAACTTGCGATTTAATCCGGATCGATAAGCTCAAAAATTGTGTCCAACAACAAAGTGTCGCTTTAAGAAGTAATACTCCAAGGAGCTCGGTTTAGAGCCAATACTTCAGTTTTACAATGATATATGTTTTTTTGTCAATCTATCAACGGTTTCAGCTGGCCTTGCATTCACTGGACAGCTAGTATGTGTTCCTTAATTACAAGAAAGGTTATCCCAATTTGTCTCCTCACTTTTTAACTTCTTGATCCAAAGGTTCCGAAGGGAATTTGCTGAGAAGCCAAACTAAGACGACGCCAACAAGAGCACCCGAGAGATGTGCTATGTGATTAACAGTCTGTAAAGAATAGCCACCATATATAGTACCTGATAATCCAGCCGAAGCCTGAGCTGCTTCCATTACCTTATAAGAATCAAATGAACTGAAAAAATTAGTCCCCTGGAATCTAAGAGTGCCCCTGGATTCTAAGAGTTCTATCACATCACACCACTTGTTACAGTATCAAACAACATGGTTATAAATAATATTGATGCTGTGTGATAAACTAAACTTACCCTCTCAACAACGAACTGACCCAAAATAAGAACTTCAAGGATTTTCCTCCAATCCCAAGACATCTACAAAAACAGTTTTGAAAAGAATCTTTAGTTACCAAAATATATTATCGAGGAGGTTGATTTACAGGGAAACAGAACCAAGGAGAGAAATATAGTACCTTGACGAGGACGCTGATAGCAAATAACCCGAAAACAGCTCCAGAGGCACCAACAGAAACAGCATTTCTCGGTAAAACTAACCAAGAAACAAGGTTAGCTCCAACACCAGTGACCAAGTAAGACAACCACAAACCAAAGTTTCCTTCTTCTTCTTCAACAAGCTTTCCTGTTATTAAACCACAGAACAAGTCCCAATGTTCGTTCATTAGCTCTGGAAGCGATAAAACAAGCTAGAATCCAACTAGGTGAAAAAATTCTTGAACTCTCACCAAAGATGTACAAGAAAAAAAGATTGCTGGAGAGATGCTTCCTAGAATATATACAAAAAAAAAACACAAAGAATCAGGGAAAAGTTCTTCAACATCAGGGAGAGAGTAAGTAAAAAACTAAGCGATAGAGAGCTCTCTCACCAGTTAGCATGACAGAACGTTGCGGTCACAAACTGATACCAAACCGGGAAATTGTGATACAAATACAAAGACTTGATCCCTCGAACCTATTTGAATAAAGAACATAAAACGTATCACACTTCTTGAAACATGTAACATTCTCTGCTTCACACTCTTTTCATGCTACATCATGTTTCCAAGACTACAACAACTCATTCTTAAAACCAGGTCAATCCAAAGAGATAGTCAATACCGCTAAATACAAGCCAAGATCAAGGCTAAGCTAAATACAAGGCCACAAGTTCAATACCTGAAAGAAGTGATCAGCCATATATATGCCAAGATTGATAAGTATGATCCAAAATATGCCATTTGCTCGCTTTTGTGGTTTATGTTTGTCTTGTGCTTTACTCAATTCAAATTCTGGCGTAATCTCTGAAGAAAAAGATTTGATTTTTATGACAATTCAGTATGTGATGATTCCATTGAACATTAAGATTAGAGGTGAAATCTCACCGGAGTGGCTGAATCTGCAAGTTATCGGAGATCTGGAGGCGGTGAGAGGAAGAAACACGGTGGATCGAGTTAAGTTAGTCGGCGAAGACGAAGCTACACGGCGGGGGAGATGTAAAGGCGGGAATTTGAAACGAAGAGAAGACTGTGGAAGAGAGAGACGGTGAAGGTGAAGGTGAAGAAGGTGAGACATTTGAGAGATTTCAATACGTCATAACCGAAATTATCAATTCGACCAAACTAAACCGGGTGTTGAGAATTGAGTTCTTGATTAAACCCTACAGTAAAAGAGAAAGCTTTGAAGAAGAGTAAGAAGAAGATGCGTCGGAGAAGACGAAGTGGTCGTGAGGAGAGCCAACGATAAAAGAAGATGTTTGTTTTGCTTTGGGCCTTTGAGGTTAAGAGATGGAGTGGGCCTCATTGGTTAAGATAAGATCCAATAGAAGAAAGGTAGTGTTGCTTAATGGGTCTAACTAAAGCCCAGTCCTAACCATGCCTATGTTAGGAAATAGAAATGGGAAAAATACCATTAAAAATTAAAGTCATGTAGAATGCGATTTCGTTGATTTTAAAGCACGTACTCTCCGACTTTCGTTGATTTTAAAGCACGTACTTTCCGACTGTTGATTTAAATCTCAAATTTTTTTTATTGATTTACTCTTTATTATTAAACTTTGGTTGACTTTGCCTATTAGAAACCATTGTCTATTTGTTAATTAAGACATTTAAGGTCCAATATGCTAATAAATCCTGGAGAGTGCGATTTCTTTGATTTAAAGTATGTACTCTCCAAAAATGTTGATTTAAATCCTAAATTTTTTGTTGGCTTTCTCTTTATTATTAAACTTTGGTTGACTTTGCAAATTTAGGCACATCGTTAAATGGCCAAACAGAGCAATTAAACGGGGTTAGTCTCTAGTTAACGAGATCCGTCAAACACAAAATGAAACCATTGTAAACCTAACTCAAAACACTCAAACTGAAATCAAAACTCTTAACCCAAAATCTCCAAACTGAAATTGAATCCAAAATCCCCATATGGTCGACCAGTATTCTTTAGTGGGCCCCACTACATCTCTCTGTTTGTGAAACCATCCTTACATGTTTGCTTGTATGGTGCGTCCAAGAGACTTTAAAGAATTGTTTATCAATCTTACAACTCACCACATAATCTTTCTCTGTGTTTTGTCCTCATTCGTACAGTTCCAACAATCACTTCCCAAAATATTACCCATCCTAAAACTACTCTAGGATAATGTCACACGCTTATTTTCGAAAATCATGCGGCACTTGATAATACCCATATATTATCGAGTCAGCCTTCATACCTAGGATCATCTTCTACAGGGTTCGAACTGCCTTGGGATCATCAAGTGATAAGCTTTAGATCACGACTAGTTTTTGCAGGGATGGTCTAATCACTTCTTCTAGAGTAGAAAATATTGTTTCACCAAATGAAACTTACTCTCTTGATTGCCTAGTCTCTCCCTTAAATGGAAGATGGGTTAAAATTAGAAAATTATTTATCTAAGCTTAAGCAAGATAGTCGATCTTGGAGGTAAACAAGGTTGCTCTTCTTATAAAATGATTTTACATAATTAGGGAAGTCTTAAGTAACCCACTTACTCTTTCCAAGATGGCAAATGCTGAAAGTAACAAAATCTTCTTGCACCCTTATAAAACCGCAACATAGTTATCTTATGTAGGAAGAAAAGAGAACACAATCTTTTCAAAAGGTATCTTATACTTTGGCAAGGTTATGATCTCCAGAGAAAACAGATTGAGAAAAATAAGTCTTTCGAACTAGGCTTATCCATAAGTAACCATCCATCTCCCGAGTAACATTCAGTGTGAACTTAGCTTACTCTGGTAAACTTAATGTACAAGTTCCAATACAATGGAACACGAAGTTCAATCAAATTGCCACGTTTAAGAAAGCACATAATTCAAGGAGCCTTTTCTACTACCCGGGGATATACAACAACTTCACACGATGACTTACAAGCAGCTGATGCACGTATATTATCTTCTAAGTCAAAATGTGACATTATTATCTCTAGGAGTTCTAAAGGAAGGTCAGTAAAACCCGTATTTGAGATCACATGATTTAGGACCTTCTTCTGCGAAGATTTTGATATATAAAACAATTATTAGCTTCAAATTAGACAAGGTCTTCAAATAAATAAAAGTTTCACTTTGAGAAGAATTTAAAGTTCAAGAACAAGTCTAATTTGAAGTTGATTAATTATTTTGTAAATTAAAATCTCTGAGAACGAAGATCCTAAATCCTAATATCTTAAATTCGAGTTTCACTGGCCTTCCTTCAACACTCGTAAAGATAAATAATGTCTCATCTTGGCTTAAAAGATAACATTCATGGATCAGTTGCTTGTAAGTCATGGCGTGAAGCTGATGTATATGTTCGGGTAGGGGAAAAGTATCCTTGGCTTATATGTTTTCCTCGACGTGGAAAATTATTTGAACACCACGATCCATTTCATTGGAAGTTGTGCACGTTGAGTTTGACAGAGATAGCAGTGAGCACTGTCTGTTACTCAAGAGACGGCTGGTTAATTTGGATAAACCTAGTTTGGAAGATTTGTTCTTCTTCAATCTATTTACCCGGGAGCTCATAACTTTGCCACAGTGTGAGCTAGCTTTTAAAAATATTGTCTCTTGTCCTTCTACATTGGATAATTGTGTTGTGGTAGAAATAAGGTTTCAAGAATATTTTGTTACTTTCACCACTCGCCATCTTGGGAAAATTAAGTAGGTTACTAAAGAGTAAATACTTCCTTAATCATGTAAGAGTGTTTTATAAGAAGAGCGAACTATTCTAATGTCGAGATCGATTCGATTGCTTTAACTCAAATGGTTTTCTGTCTCACTCCCAATTCTTTGTTAGTTTAGATTCTCATTGGAATCATTTCATGAAACATAGAAATTCTCCCTTTTTGTTGGTAAATACTTTCATGATAAGGTCTATCAGCTCTATAACTCCCCTAATGGTGTGACTCTCTTGAGTCCACACTGCTTTTTGTTCGGCTTTGATACCAATTGTCACATCCAAACCACTACCTTCGTTAGTGGGCCCCACATCATCTCTCTGCATGTGAAACCATCCTTACATGTCTACTTGTATGGTGCATCCGAGAGACTTCAAAGAAATGTTTATCAATCTTACCACTCACCACATTATCTTTCTCTGTGTATTGTCCTCATTCGTATGGTTCCAACAATCATTTCTCAAAAGGTTACCCATCCAAATCCTACTCTAGGATAATGTCACATGCTTATTTCTGAAGACCATGCGACACTTGATAATACCCATATATTATCAATTCAGCCTTCATACCTAGGATCATCTTCGACTTGTTTCGACCTGCTTTGGGATCATGAAGTGATAAGCTTTAGATCACGACTAGTTTTTGCAGGGATGGTCTAATCCCTTCTTCTAGAGTAGACAATATTGTTTCACCAAATGAAACTTACTCTCTTGATTTCCTAGTCTCTCCCTTAAGTGGAAGATGGGTTAAAGTTAGAAAATTATTTATCTAAGCTTAAGCAAGATAGTCGATCTTGGAGGTAAACAAGGTTGCTCTTCTTGTAAAATGATTTTACATAATTAGGGAAGTCTTAAGTAACCAACTTACTCTCTCCAAGATGGCAAATGCTGAAAGTAACAAAATCTTCTTGAACCCTTATAAAACCGCAACATAGTTATCTTATGTAGGAAGAAAAGAGAACGCAATCTTTTCAAAAGATATCTTATACTTTGGCAAGGTTATGATCTCCAGAGGAAACAGATTGAAGAAAAATAAGTCTTTCGAACTAGGCTTATCCATAAGTAACCATCCATCTCTCGAGTAACATTCAGTTTGAACTTAGCTTACTCTGGTAAACTTAGTAACATTCAGTGTGAACTTAGCTTACACTGTCTGTTACTCAAGAGACGGCTGGTTAATTTGGATAAACTTAGTTTGGAAGATTTGTTCTTCTTCAATCCATTTACCCGGGAGCTCATAACTTTGCCACAGTGTGAGCTAGCTTTTAAAAATATTGTCTCTTGTCCTTCTACATTGGATAATTGTGTTGTGGTAGAAATAAGGTTTCAAGAATATTTTGTTACTTTCACCACTTGCCATCTTGGAGAAATTAAGTGGGTTACTAAAGAGTAAAGACTTCCTTAATTATCTAAGAGTGTTTTATAAGAAGAGCAAACTATTCTAATGTCGAGATCGATTTGATTGCTTTAACTCAAATGGTACTCTGTCTCACTCCCAATTCTTTGATAGTTTAGATTCTCATTGGAATCATTTCATGAAATATAGAAATTCTCCTTTTTTGTTGGTAAATACTTTCACGATAAGGTCTATCAGCTCTATAACTCCCCTAATGGTGTGTTCTCTCTTGACTCCACACTGCTTTTTGTTCGGTTTTGATACCAATTGTCCTATCCAAACCACCACCTTCGTTAGTGGGCCCCACGTCATCTCTCTTCCCGTGGAACCATTCTTACATGTCTGCTTGTATGATGCGTCCGAGAGACTTTAAAGATCTTTTAATCAATCTTACTACTGACCACATAACATTTCTCTGTCTTTTATCCTCATTTGTACGGTTCCAACAATCACTTTCTTAAAGATTACCCATCGTAAAACTACTCTAGGATAATGTCACAGGCTTTTTTCCGAAGACCATGCGACACTTGATAATACCCATATATTATCGAGTCAGCCTTCATACGTAGGACCATCTTCGACTGGTTTCGAGCTGCCTTGGGATCATCAGGTGATAAGCTTTAGATCACGACTAGGTTTTGCAGGGATGGTCTAATCCCTTCTTCTAGAGTAGACCATATTGTTTCTCCAAATGAAACTTACTCTCTTGATTTCCTAGTCTCTTCGTTAAGTAGAAGATGGGTTAAAGTTAGAAAAAGTTTTATCTGAGCATAAGCAAGTTAGTCGATCTTGGAGGTAAACAAGGTTGCTCTTCTTGTAAACAAAGTTTTTGCAGGGATGGCCTAATCCCTTCTTTTAAGTCTAATACTTTATCAGCGACGAACACCCGAACCTATTAAGTGGTTCCCGGCTGACTCCTTCGAAGGGACTCGTCTACCCGAGGCCGGCACACCCTCCTCACTAAAGCACGGTACTGCATGCGGAATCAATGCGGCAGTCACAAACCGTTCTTAAAAACGGGTCGTGACAATAAGCACGCTTAATTGTGGATTTATCTCAAGATATTTGATTGAAAAGATAAGTACACTCTGGTGATTGGTGATATAGGTGGTCAAATCAATTATTTTAAATATCTTTGCATGCTCTAACATATTTTCTGAAACCGGGTTGTGACAACCT